CTTTTTGCCATGACTTTGTCACTGGTTTCTTTTTGCCATGACTTTGTCACTGGTTTCTTTTTGCCATGACTTTGTCACTGATTTCTTTTTGCCATGGCTTTGTCATTTTTTCACCAATGTGAAATCCGAATGTATACCATTGTTTCAGTGTAACAAATCCTTTAATACGATGTGTCAGGATGTATAGGGTAGTAGTTAAAAATTTTGTCATTGAACTGAGCTTGAGATACTCAAAAAAAAAAAAAAATTGAAACTATACTAAAAAATATTAAACATATATTTTATTTTTTTAAATTTATTTTTTGGTAGCAAGAGAAATTCAGCCGGGCCGTCTACAAAGGAACCCTGTGTAACGAATGTGTAAAAGAATTTCAATAACATTATGATGAACATATTTTAAGCTCAAAAATTTGCCTTTTATAATTCTCCTGCGAGGTAAGTGTGGATGAATTCAAACTGACTTGTTACATTTCCTAACAGCAAGTTGTAGTGGGGTCTACACAACCCGGCTTCGACCCTGTTTTCCATTCAAACATCAGCAACACCCTTCTACTACGCGTAACTTAGTTGGTATATAGTCAACCGAGACGAGATAGGCTCGTTTCCGTGCACCGAAACTTAAATTTATACTAAGATAAATAAGGATATTTTCATTGTTATATTTACACCTACATAATCGAGTGCATTATTAAAAGACACCATTTGCATAAGTACAAAATTTCCTAACTTCGTGTTTCCGGATGAAAAGAAATCACTTCAATAAATTACATAATCTCATAAACAAGAAAAAAAAAGTTACGTAACAAAGGGAAACATTTACGTAAGAAAAATATCGTGACAAGTACTTGTACGATATAAACAGGAAGGTCTGAATAAAAAATTCATCAGCCGTTCACATTTTAATTTTAATAGATGTTGAATTTAACAAACTTATATGTTTGGCTTTTAATGATTTATGTTTTCTCACCATTATGGAAAATATAATTGATCAAAATCTATCTTTAATTGTTTGTTTTATTTATTAAAAATTGTAAGCTACTGTTATCTCCTAACGTGTTTTGTATATGTATATATACATATTATAGAAATGGAGCTTTTTTTAAAAATATATATTAAGACTATACGCAAAATGGTTGCCTAATAGGAACGAATAACCTTGTTCGACTCGTATGACCGTTTGACAACTGCGCTGTAACAACAAATCTATCAGACAACGGCCTAGGAACATTTTAAATGCTTACGTAGCACAGTATGGGAATTAGGAATGTGTAAATTACACATTTGAAACAAGTTAACCACTAATTTTGCAAGTTTTTATGGGGTTGTTAAGGATTATTTTTAAAATCACTAGGGATGTAGATGTTTTTTGTACTAGAATCTGTGATTTTAATGATTTACACGAACACTCATCGGCAATATAACGACAATATATGTTGTGAATATTGGGTGTAAGGTAAGGTTGTTAACTTAAATTAGAATTGTCCACACCAAAATTTTCGCCGGTTGAAAAAGCTTACCTACTAAAAAGTAGGAATGAGCATCGATAATCGATGTTTTCAACATCGATGCTACTGTGTCGTTGTTTTTTGGCCATCGATGGGCTGTCGATTATAAACTTTTTCAGTTTTTCATAATTTCCAATTTAGTGAATAGGGAATGACCAGTATTCTTCTGATATGAATGTGACCTATCAGAACCTGTCAGGAGTTGTTTAATTTGATGCCTTAGTGGCACATCTGTTCCCTCTGAACGATTATTTTCCAAAAATGGACAGATTATTTTGAAAACCTGAAATCGTTTAGAGGATAAGTTGGCTTTAAAGCTACTTTATCCTTTTTTAATTGCGTTCCGGAGAAGATGCGGTTGTGTTTCATCGTTTTTTTTTTTTTTTTTTTTTAATAAAATTTAAAAATAAAATTTTAAAATTAAAAAAAAAAATAAAAAATTAATAAAATTTGCAGGCACAAAATAATTTAACAATAGACGTATTTTATTTAAAAGAGTCCGAGAGATCTATACACAACTATAAATGAAACCAAAAGCAAAAAGATTCCTAATAAATGTTATTTAAAAAATTAATTAATTATTAATCAAGTCCCTAATGAAGGTTTAGAAAAGGCGAAATTTGACAAATTAGCTTATGTTTCTAAAGTGGGACATAAAAATAATGTATGCATATGAAAATAATTTATGGTTTGAGTAATGATTACTCAAAAAACCATCGATGTGCAGACTATAGAGTCGATGGTCGACCACCATCGATGGTGAGGTTCCGATGTTTAATCGATGGCGGCCATCGATGTTTTTTTATCGATGTTCATTCCTACTAGAAATAGCTATTTGTACACAGATTATTTAAGAATTTGTAAGAGGTTAATTCTTCTGGTATTTGACGCTAAAAATTATTATTTTCTGTATAGATAACTCGGTTTTTTTACTTTTTTTTTTTTTTTGAGCAGCTGTTACTGTTTTGAGCATAACTCTTTCCCTAACTGTCAGCCAATTCAGTTTAACATTGTATGATGTTACATGCTCAAATGGTTTTCAATTGAAGATGTAGCTCATACATGAATTTTAACATTTTTGTAACGTATTGATATTTTCCCTATCATTAATTCACAAGGCAATAAGCAATACTCAAACAATGGTTTCGTTCTGTGTGGACGACTATTGACTGTTTAATAAATTCTCTTTGGGTTTGATATACCCATTAAAAATCTATTAGAGTCAATAACTGATTTTCAGAATAAATACGAGAATGTAAGCGCAAAAGTGAGATACTTGGAAAGAGAAAATAGAAAGCGAATTTTAATAACTTTTGGAGATTCAGATGAATTCAGTGATTATTGAGAACAAGAAGTTCTTCGTTCCAAGAGGTTACAGGTGCTCGCAAGCGTCTGCGTGAGGTCAAGTGTTTTGAAATGTTGTTTTGAATAGTTTACTGGAAATCCTAGAAGAAATAGGGGTAAAAATCGTGGTTTTTCGTAGATGACGTTGTAGAAATAAGCGAACACTAAAAAAGGGCTCCAGGAAAGAACTAAATTAGTGAAAACTATAGTAAAATTGTGTAAGGAGTCAAACCTGAGGATATCAGATGAAAAAGGTCATACACCAAGGCTCAAAGTAAACTTACGACCCCATTCATTGATCAAATAGCTGGAAAAGCAAAATATGAGAGGCTATGAGGTACAATTTTGTCAAGTAAGAATCACAAGATAGAAAATGTTATTGAGCCAACTATATAGTAGGGGTATTCACGATCTTTCCGTTAATCTTGTTAACTCCTGTTAGATCGAGAAATATGATGACGTAGACTTGTAAGAACCGGATAGTTAACATTGCTCGATCTAACAGGCCAGGGCCAATGTTAGGGTTAGGTAGAAAATGTAGTCACGTTGCTATCCGTTAGCGTAGGTAACCAACATGGCAGTCATAAATTTAACAGCTGTTTTTTGTTTACACGTATTTTTAGTCTTAAATACCCATTGATTAAATCTGATCAATATATTACATTTGTTAATTTTTGACCTGTCCTTATACTCTCATTCGTAGTAGATACATCCCATATCCTATGAAGTTGTATGACCTTAGGTTAAAAGTCTTTGTTAGTACTTTTCGAGTGATAGATAGCATATTGAATGAAAGAGTTGATTAATTTTCCTTTTTATTAACTTCTGGCATTCCACCATTCTGGCACCATCCCAAACTTAAAGAGGCGCATCCTGGACACCAAACCTGAAAAGAAAACCAAAGTCAGAGGATAGCTTTACTGAAATCCAAGAAAGGATAAAACCTCGAATGTCCTCAAAGTTATCGCCTATGCATAACCATTGTCGTTATTTATTAAAGTAAAATTGCTGCAAGACAAATTAAACACGGACAATCGCCTCATCTAGTAGTTGTAGATTGAATGGATCTAAATTGGCTGCAGAAAGCCTCTAAATACTAGTTTTCAGTATTCCAGAAACAATGGAACATTGACTCTTGAAGACTCCTCGTAACAAGGATAAAAGAGAAAGCGCAAATGGGGATTCGGTCAATTTAGATCATCATTATTTTATAGGCATACTAATTTTGTGTTATCAATTAGTGTTTTTTTTATTGTAACTATTGTAAATTATGATTAGCTAAAAATTATGTTGAGATTCGAACCGTGATATGACTAGACTGATGAGTCAATATCATGGATTTAACTATTGCCCCCCCGCATATCAATGTTATCTCGAGTCTGAGGAGCCAGCCCTGTCTATAATTACTTAACGGCTTTTAATAAATTACTCAAATTGTTTTCAAATTTGACATTTACCAAGATAATTTGTTTAAAAAAATTACAAAAGTAATATGATAACTGATAGTATAATATGTAAAATAAGAATCATGTGGTAAAAAATAATATTATAAAGTTTAATAATTGAATTTTTTGTCGTAAATATACCTAGAAATTGCGTTGATTCTTCGGATTGACATTGCCGAGCTCAATAGTGGAAAACGCTTGCATACAGAAGCTGGCCGCGATACAGATGAAGCAGCACTTTATTAGTTGCATCATTACTATCAACAGAACGACTATAAGGACGTATTTAGCCGGTAGGAAGTTGGTCAGAGCTAGAAGGATGAAAGCGAGGGGCGTAATGAGCACTATGGCTTTTATAAAGAGAAGAAAGAGGGTCCACACCGATATACATCGTTCTGACTTGGATTGTATGGAGAAAAGGAGGAAAATGTTGCAAATGGCTTGCAAGATAAATATTACAAAAAGATAGATACTCGCGTGACGGGCGTGTTTTCTTTGATCTTCATTTCTCTCTTCATCCATGCTGATTGTGAATGTGGACGGTTCGACGCAATAGTTTATGATCAAGTTTTGAACGCCGAAAACCAGGGTAACAAGCAGCGACACCCAACCGATCGTCTTCGTTCCGCTTTCGATTTGCAACCCACATCTCGTCGATAAACCATTATAGAGTTTATACATATTTAAGGTACACGTTATATATATATATATTTTTTTGTTTTTATAGAAAAAACCATCTGATTTTCCTAAAGTTACGTTTCATAAAACATACATGAAAAATGTTTCCGATATTTTTGGTTATACGTAGAGGATTAGACTTCCCAATCCCCCCAGCTAATCGGATTTGTGCTGCTGCTCTCGCAAATCTTCGAATCTGAATTTAAAAGACCTCAATTCAGTCGAGACAATAATTTTTATTTGTGATGTCAACGAGTTTTACATTTTGCTAAACGTTATTTTTCAGTATGAATCTTTCTAAATAATTTTATATAACAGAGACAGTGGTTTAATATATTATTATTACGATTGTGCAGGGGTGCCCCTTGACTCCGAGATAAGAGGAAGTCGCCTCCAGAGGTGTTGGCCAGAGCCCGGACAGGACACATTATCAAGGTACCGCATGATTTGATTTCTTAAACTTATCTGCAACCTTAGCAGGCAGAGAGGAAGACACGGAGAGTTACAATACGCCTTCCGATTACCAATTATAAACTATTTAAAAAAAATAACAATCGCGTCAAGAGGACTCCATAAATGTACAAAAACAGGCATCAAAAACAACTTGGTATCCAAGACAATGAAAATTTAGAACAACAGAAATATTCACAGAAATAAGTACTAAATTTTAGACTTATTGCTCAGTAAAATATGATAATAAATAACTTTCTTGTTATATTTCCTATTTTTTCTTTCTTATCTAGTTGCTAATTTGAGAAAATTTAATTTTTACCAAAACGTGTGTATATATATATATATATTATAATGGTCTAAAAAGTGAAAAAGTACTAAAGATCTAACAGTCTTACAGCAAAGTCTGTTGGTTTTTTTTTATCTTTAATTTTTATTTCTTCTTATACGTAAAAGCAATAGAAATAAATACTAACTGAATTTTTTAATTGTTCACGCTCATCAAGATATACCATTTATAATGTAGTTAAAAAATTAAATGGATCGGATGAATTTAATAGAAACTTTAAGAAATATCCATTAGCATATTACAAATTTTATGTAAGTTGGTTTAAGATTTATTGATCATTTAAATTTTGACATGGAAGGATCCAACTCCAAACCTATAGCAATACTTTTTTTTATTTATTTTTTTTTTAAAACGAGGTTAAACAACAGCAGAGGTTTTATCAACCCCGGCGGGAATTTCTTATACGCTCAACTGAGTGTAGAAATTTTTAAGTGGATTCAAGGAGAGGGGTACAAATAATATCTGGGTATTATAATATAAAATAAACTTGGCAAAAATGAATAGGGTAATTTGTAATTTATTCTTATTTTATTAATTTTCTTTACTTTTGTTAGGTGGATAATACAAAATAAAAAATACAAACCAAAACAAAAAAAATTGTTAAACCTCATTTTTAATAACGGATTTTACTTAAGAATAGTAAATATGAAGACAAATCATTTTGTAAACAAACATCTTTTCTCCATTTTAATCTTTTTAACCTCTCTTGAACTAAAAGTTTGCAATATTATTGTGAGAATGAGTCACGCAGGTCACTGGCAAGTGGATATTGCAGAGGTAGTTGGTGTTTCTCAAAGCGTCTCACTCGGGGCTTAGCCGAATTCGTGGAATTTACTGGAAGTGCCAATAGGAGGCCTGGTAGTGGATCTCAGCGCAGTACGATCCTAAGGGAGGACAGAAATATTGCCATTGCTGCAAGAAGGAACCCTTTCCATAGTGCCCGCCAGATTAGAAATGGAGTACAACATGTTTTGGCAAGGCCTTTATCAACATCTTATACCCCTTTGAGACAACCTGCAACAACAGCCCACCACCAGTAACTCAGGAGAATATGATGCAGAAAGTGCCTAGAAGAGAACACCAATTGGAATGCTGTTATTTACTGATGAGTCGCATTTCTGTTTGTATAATTGATAGCAGGCTCCGAGAACAGGGGATGCGTACAATGCCCCAGTTTGTGCTTCATTCAGTGCAGTTTGGAGGAGGCGGTGTAATGATCTGGGATGGGGTTTGCACTGGAGAAGGAACTGGACTCCATATTGTTGAAGGCAACCTCATTGCAGTCCGTTATGTTCAAGAAAGTATCGAGGAATACACACCTCAAACCAGGAATCTCTTTGCCAGGGATTTGCGATTACTGGAAAACAATGCCATACCTCATAGAGGTAGAGTTGTTCATCAATGTCCAGAAAACTTGGAAATTTCTCATCTGCCCCTTTCCCCATTATCTACAGACCTCCATTCCATTGAGCATGCAGAGAAAGCTTTTCCATCACCAAGCCAATTGACCTTCAACAATTCAGTGCAGCGCTGCAACATTTATGAAGTGAAATTCCTTATGAAATTAGTGACAACCTTATTAAACGTCTGCCTAACAGGTGCATAGATTAGAGAGCAGAGGCATACACGGTATTAATGGTTTAAAAAAATTATTGTATCCAATAAACAAAATTATGAAAGTAAAATATTTTTTGTGATTTTTTAAAAGCCCTTAATTAAATTTTCCTTCAGAAAAAACATAATAATTTCTATATCAATTTTAATGCAATTTATAATAAAAATAAAACAAAAATTGGGAAAATAAATACTACAAAATTGGCAATAAATCTATTCATTTTTGAGCAGTTTGGTATGATTAACAATTAACAATCTTATTAACTGTTTACATGTAACATTATGTCTCTCTCTCTCTCTCTCTCTCTCTCTCTCTCTGTGTCTGTGTGTCTGTGTGTCTGTGTCTGCGTGTCGGAGTTGAGCACGCTGCCTTCTACGCTACACGTAACAAATAATAATAGAGAATATGATGCAGAAAGTGCCTAGAAGAGAACACCAATTGGAATGCTGTTATTTACTGATGAGTCGCATTTCTGTTTGTATAATTGATAGCAGGCTCCGAGAACAGGGGATGCGTACAATGCCCCAGTTTGTGCTTCATTCAGTGCAGTTTGGAGGAGGCGGTGTAATGATCTGGGATGGGGTTTGCACTGGAGAAGGAACTGGACTCCATATTGTTGAAGGCAACCTCATTGCAGTCCGTTATGTTCAAGAAAGTATCGAGGAATACACACCTCAAACCAGGAATCTCTTTGCCAGGGATTTGCGATTACTGGAAAACAATGCCATACCTCATAGAGGTAGAGTTGTTCATCAATGTCCAGAAAACTTGGAAATTTCTCATCTGCCCCTTTCCCCATTATCTACAGACCTCCATCCCATTGAGCACATGTGGGAAGCATTGCAGAGAAAGCTTTTCGATCACCATCCGCAGCCAGTTGACCTTCAACAACTCAGAGCAGCGCTGCAACATTTATGGAAAGAAATTTCATAACCTCCAAGAGTCTACCAAGAACAGGGGATGCGTACTATGCCCAATGAGTTTGTGCTCTTTTCAGTGGTTCGGAAAAGGCGGTGTCTGGAATGGGATTTACACTGGAGCGTCGAGCTGGACTCCATATTGTTGAAGGCAACCTCCGTTATGTCCAAGAAATTATCGAAGAATACATCCCTCAAACCAGGAATCTCATTGGTAGAGATTTTCTACTTCAGGAAGACAATGCCAGACATCATAGACGCATTGTTGGACGCAAGAAGACCTGCAGGAAAAGCCCCCCACCAGCAACTCAGGAGAATATGGTACAGCGAGTACCTTCAAGAGAACACCAATGCTGTTATGTTTACTGTTGAGTCGCGTTTCTGTCTGAATATTGATAGCAGAAGAAACTGGAACTTACACGACAGAAAAAACATCTTGTACTTGGGACACTGTGGAAAGGGTTCCGTCTTGCAACAATGACAGTACTTCTGTCCTCCCTTAGCGTCTCGTAATGCGCTGAGATCACCACTAGACCTCATATTGGCACTTCCAGTCTCTCGGGATCGAGACCTCATATTGGCACTTCCGGTCTCTCGGGAGACCACTATGTGAAACGCCAACTGCCCCATCGATATCCACTTGCCGGTGACCTCGGTGACTCATTCTCACAATAATATTGTTCACAATACACAAATCTACAATATACAATTTGTTTTATTCAACTAACAAGAATATATATGTTAATTTTTTTAAAATTAATAGAATTATTACAAACTCGCTATTTATTGTTTCCCAGTTATTGTAGGGATTGCCTCCGGATGATTTTCTTTTAATATTTAAAGGATATCAGTACTCCCTACTCAAATGTTATTCGTCCTACAAAGCGCCAAAGCCTGTGCCACCAGTAAGCATCCGCCTATCTTTAGTTAGAAAGGTATAAAATCATTCATCTTTCCTAGTCTTGCCTACAGATGGATTTCTCATTACATAGCTTCTATTTCTCAGATATACGACAGTACTATTCTATGAACTTAGCGCGGGTCATTGTTTTTATTAAAATTAGTGTTCAGTAATACATTCGTCATACAAACTCAACTTCTATGAGACGTTTTTTGCAAATGTTACCTAAGCCGTTATCTCTTTTAGCAAAGTCAAAGGACAAGATTAATTTTCTCCGTTCAGAACCATTATCAAATTTACCGCCAATCCTAGATATTAAACGAATTTGTTTGAATCTAATTAAAACTGCTCACACATGGGCTGAGTTCAAACATGTGCGAGGCACGTTTGTTATCTTTGAAATATGTCAGAAATCCGAGGCAGGGCGGACCTTTGTGTGAGAAACACTGGGTACATTAAAACCTGCAGATGCCTTGGAAATTCTCTCCCGGACGAACAATTTAATTATAGAACTCTTTTAATTCCGAATGCGTGGGCTATTCTTGAAGTGAAAGCAGTCATTCCAAAAAGTGGTGAAGTACTTTTTCTCTGCCCGTTGTATTAGTTTTACCTTATTTCCACGAGGTTTAATAAATCCAAGTGATCGTTATTTCTATTGAATTTATTTGTAAGGTAAATTACTATAAATTTAAGTTCAAAAAGCTGTAGACAGGATACATCGATAGCCAACATTTACCGACATTACGGACCTATTGCACTCCGATCACCTACAAATGTTTTGAACTTTTATTGCTAAAAAAAACGGCGCCGCGTACACAGTTATTACATATTGAGATGTTGTGATGGTTTAATATCACGTCGCGCCGTTAACAATGGGCTTGTTTGGTCATATTAAATATTAACAAATCCAATGAACCGTGAATTAACCTTTTATCATTTTATAATTTCCAAATTAATAAACGTCGATTAAATATTGTCGTATGGTAGAACAATACAGATAATAACTATAATATTTTTGGGAAGAGTAAGGATGTTTTGGCCATATAAAATACTAAAAATCCATTTAACCGTGAATTAATCGCTTATAATTTTTTAATTTATTTATTATTATTGAATATAATATTTTCTCGAACAGCGGTCTTGCTTTGCCAATATTTGCATATTTTGGCCATATAAGATATTAAACAAATCCAATGAACCGTG